TTTCTAGCATCTCTGGGAAACACAGGGCACCGTATCTTATAGAAACATAGCTAGTACAAGAACAAAATGTACTAATTAACATTACTTTTTGCTTCCCCAGTCAAAAAAGGCTATAGAGAAAAACACTTTAAATTGTATTCTAATACAAATTTGTTGCACAATTAAACTTTAACTTACTCAGAGTTATTGTATTGCTTAATTGTTCATTGTGAGCAGATTATTGAATGCCTACTCTATTTTCTCCCGCTTCTTTCTTGGCAAGATTTTGTATATGTTTCACTCTCACTTTTTAAATTCCCTGAACCGGCTGCTCTCCTTAGCTGCAGCCGGAGATCAGGATTTACTGTGGCTCCCCACCACGGGATGGGCAGGAGGAAAGTGAACCCCACCGCGCACTAACCTAGGGCGCAGTGAGGGAAAGGTCGGCGGGTCCCCACGTCTGAACATGCGCAGGAACCATCCCAAAAGGTAAAGCGCTGAGTCTCCAGGAATATTGTCTATAGCTTCAGCTAATATAATGGTGTAGTAACAACAGGGTGGTTTTTTGTTGTTGTTGTTATTTGTTTGTTTGTTTTTCTGGTTGAGATATTTCAAATGTCAGCGAGGCATTTTAGACGCAATAACAACTAGCTTTTTATGAGTTCGCTTTGACAGGTATTTTACAAGAAAATCTAATAAGATAAAACCTAATAAATATAATAAAACCCAAATTCAGTATCAGGCTTCACCTCTACGCCAATTTTTTTTTTTTTTTCTAAAAGTACACTATTGAAGTGTAATTCACAGAGTAAAATGCACAAATGTTAACTGTACAGCCTGATAAATTTTGACAAATGTAACCATCAGCTAGATTATAGACATTTTCCATCAGCCCAGACAGTCGGTAGAGTCAATTCACATCCAACTTCTCTTCACTTAAGAATACCATTCTCATTTCTATCTCCTCAGATTAGTGTTGACTGTTTCTGAAATTCACATAAGTGAATGTACATTTTTGTGTCAGACTTTCATTTCATGCAACATAATGTTTTTGAGATGCATCCATGTTGGTGAGTGTATTATTTTGGTGTTATTGGTGAGTGTTATTCCTGTGTGTGAAAATATCACTGTTGATGGACAATTGGGTTATTTCCAATTTTGGCTACTGTGACCAAAGCTGCTATAAATGTTCTTGTACAATTCTTTTTGTAGACATATGCATTCATTTTTCTTAAGTATATATGTTGTAGTGGAATTGCTAGGTCATGGAATACGTCTAGATTTAACTTCATTAGAACTGCCAGTTTTCCAGAATGGTTGCGCCATTTCACCTTCTCACCAGCAACACAGCAAGAGTATAGTAACCCCACGTTCTTGTCAGCACTTGTTCTCTGTCTTTAAAATATACCCATTCTGGTGGGTGCATGTCTTAGTCCATTCAGGTTGTTATATCAAAATAACTTAAATGAGGAAGCTTATAAACAACAGAAATTTATTTATGATAGTTTTGGAAGCTGGTAAATCCAAGTTCAAGGTGTCAGCAGATTCAGTGTTTGGTGAGGGTTCACCCTCTGGTTCATAGACAGTGCCTTCTCCCTGTGTCCTCACATGGTTTACAAAGACACTAATCTTATTCAGGAAGTGGAGCCCTCATGATCTCATCACCTTCCAAGGGCTGGAACCTCCTAATACCACCACCCTTGGGGATTAAGATTTCAACAAACAAATACGGTGTTGATGGTAGGGACACAAATATTCAGAGCATAGCAGTGCGTAAAGTTATCTCATCATAGCTGGGTGCAGTGGCTGCATCTGTAATCCTAGCTACTCCATAGGCTGAGGTAGGAGTATCTCTTAAACCCAGGAGTTTGAGACCAGCCTGGGCAACACAGCAAGACCCTCATCTCCAAAAAAATAAAAGAAAAAAAGAAAATTATCTCATCATGGTTTTCATTTATGTTTACCTATTAAGTAATGATATCGAGCATCTTTTCTTATGTCTTTTGGCCATTGATAAATTCTCTTTTGTGAAGAAAGCCTATCTAAGCATTTTACTCATTTTTAAATGGTTTGGTTTTTATTATGATTTCTAAAGGTTCTCTCTATATATTTAATATTTCAGTCATTTTTTCAAATAAGCATGATGCAAATACCTTTTCCCAGTCTGTGGCTTGTCTTTTGATACGTTCTTATGATAATTTTTGATGAACAGAACTCTTTAATCTTGGTGAAATCCAAGTTCTTAATTTTTTTCTTTTATGATCTCTAAGACATCTCTCCTACCCCTAGATGGTGAATATATTTTCCTACGTTTTCTTCTAGAAGCGTTTTGTGTTTTAGTTTTCATATTTAAATCTATGATTCTTCTCAATTTCATCTCCTGATGTCAACACAATACTTAACTACAGAATCCAAGGCTTGCAGAAAACAATCCAGCCTCTTGGAAACTTCTATAATCCTGATGTAATAACATTCACAAGGGTTTGCTGCTGTGCTCTTTGGTAACTACAGAGCCTTGTGCTTCCATCCCTCATTCCCCCCACTTTTGCCTTATCTCTTCTTCTCTCCATTCTTCTCACCCCTACTGCTGAGAAAACCAGAAATACCTGAAACTGACAAGAAGAAAGACTTAGTCTAACTTGTGCTCAAGCCACACCTGTGTTCTGGTTTGTAAATCTAGTCCTGCCCTTGCAAGGCCTTGGAAAAGTAACTTAAACGTTATGTGCCTCAATTCTTTCTTCTGTAAAATGGGGCTAATAAGAGTAGTCTACTTCATTCTGCTGTTATTAGCTGTGTCTAGATTTAGGAGATAATCAATAATGTTATAAGCAGGAGAATCATCACCCTCATTGTCATTATCCTCTGCATTATTTTTGAAAGCCACGGTGTTGATATTTTGCATCTTAAATTAGTTTTGCTTCTTCTAGAAATGCCCGTAGATGGATTCATGGAGTATGCACCCTGTCATGTCCTGTTTTTTCTTTCTGCATAATGTCACTGAATTTTATCGATATTGTTGAGTATAAGAGATGTTCATTCCTTTTTATTGTTGAGCATTCCATTGCAGTGGATATGCCACAATTTGTTTGCCAGTGTCCCGATGATGCACATTTGGGTTGTTTGTAGTTTGCTATTGTGAACAAAGCTGCTATAAACATCCTTGTTACGATTATTTTGTGTGTGGACATATGTTTTCAGTTCTCTTGGGAAAATGTTTAGGTAAAAAACTGCTACGAACAAAGGGATGTTTATGTTTAAATTTATGAGAGACTGTCAAGTCAAAGTGGTTAGAACATTTTACATTCCCACTAAAAGCATATGATTTCTGGTTGTTCCACATCTTCACCAGGATTCGGTGTTTTTAGACTTTATAATTTTAGCCAAGCTACTGAGTGGAATGATATCTCAATGTTATTTCAGTATCTATTTCCCTGACAACTAATGATATTGGGCATTTTTTTATGAGCTGGTTGGCTATTAGTATACTTTCCTCTCTCAAGTGTCTGTTTAAGTTTTTGCCCATTTTCTAAGATAAGTGTTTCAGTTTCTAATGCCAAATTGTAGGAGCTAATTATATATTCTGGATACAGGTTCTTTGTCAGATATGTTTTATGACCATTTTCCTCCTAGACTATGGCTTGCCTTTTCACTTAATGGTGTCTTTTGATGAGAAGCCTTTTACTATTGATCGTGTCAAATTTATCACTTTTCTCTTTTACTATTTTCTTCCTGTGTAACACGTAGGAAATATTTGCTTGCTGCCAGGTTATAAGGATATTTCCATGTATTTTCTTCTAAAATGTTATAGTTTGTATGATTTGGTCTGTGATCTAACTCAAATTAGCTTTTGTGTATATGGTGAGGTAGGGATTGTGTGTTTTTTTTCACTAGTATAATAAATATCTAATTGATCCAGCACTATTTGTTAAAATGACACTCCTTTCCCCATTGAATTGCTTCAGTGATTTTTTTTTTTGAAAATTGGTTGACCATATTACACGGATCTGTTTGAGGTCTCTTAATTCAGTTCCATTTATCTATGCATGTATCCTTTTGCTACTCTCAGACTTTTTTGTTTATGGTAATAAACAGCTTAATAGTAAGTCTTAAAGTCTTCCAGGCTTGACTTTTTCACACAGGTCAATAAATCTGAAATGTGTATGAACTGTGGTGCCCCCATGCAAATCAAAATATGCTGTCACTTAATCCCTTTCATTTTATTGTAGGGCATATGCCCTCATGTACAATGGCTGAGCCCTTAGCCAAAGATCCTCTATTATACCCTCTGGAGAAAATAAATCTTCAGTTACTTTCAGAGCTTATCTAGAGGTAAAATGCCTGCAACATTCAGCAATGAATAAATTTTTCTTGAAAAAGAAGTTCCGTTTTCACTTGCTTTGGCCATAGAATTTTTTCTCTAGTATCTATGAGCATGAAATACAATGTTTGGTTTGCAATTTTAGGATCTTTGTAGGAAGAAAAACTTTAGTGGAAACAATCAATATTTAAAGCCATTTTATGAAACTTTGTCATTTACATAACAGCTTTCTTTGCTGCTTTTGTAAAAATGGCATACAGTGGGCTTTATATGCTTGTGATACAATTTTTAGAATGTGTGCTTAAATTAAAACTACTAAAATTAAAATATTCATCATGAACGTCCTGGATTCATCTTAAGTTCCATCAACAGTGCACTTAAAATAAAATGGGCCCAACCAAAGGATACAAATCTACGTGGCTAAAGTGCAGTTCCTACATGTGAGACATTCTCAGCAGTATTTGCTTGCCTTGCTGTGGTGATTTTCCTGTTTTCCCCGCACTGGAAAGTTCTCAATTCAAACCTGTAAGAAATGTCCTTTGCCAAAAGATTTTAAAGTATTCTTTCTTCAAGTAAGGGCAGCTTTATAAAAGTTATCACTTGCATCCTTGGAATGCACAGAAAGCTTGGGGAGAGAGATCGAGCTCCTACAAGTTCAAGTGCTACCCAGCTGGGGGAGGGGAGAGGAAGACAACGTACTCACTGGTACCCAGGCCAAGGTTGTCTGCTCTGCCTGCTTTGGCTCCAACTTGAGACCTGAACTCCGGTTCAACGGCAACAGGAGGACCTGCTTTCAGATAAGGCTGACTTAATCTTCACGGTGCCTTTAGATCAGGAAATCTCATAGGGTTTCTGCCCTTCCTTTTAATCTATTTCTACCTCTCCCTTTGTCGCTTCGATCCCTCGTGGACAGGACCCCAGAGGGCGGCCGCCCCTTTCCCTTACCGGTTCCTCCCTGCCTGGATGTCTCAAACTGACCCTGGACGTTACCGCCCGCGGGTGAGAACGAGAAGAGCCAGGAAGGAGCCACAAACGCTCCGCGTGCGTCCCCGCGCACCTGTGCCTCGGGCTCCCCGCAACCTGAGCACTCGCGCCCGAGTCCTCTCTGCAGGTCACAGAGGGTGTGGGGCTCCCGACAGGGCAGGACGAGCCGCCCCGACGGGACCTAGCCCTGCCCCTGGCTGGCCCTCGAACACAGGTCTGCAGAGGCTGGTTGTGACAGGTAGAGCCAAAGAAAACTCTCAACGGCAGCCCCAACCCAGGAACCCGAGATTAAGGGCCTTCAACCCTAAAGTCTGAGCTGAATCATCTCCACGCCTTGTCGTTCGCCAAAATTCAGAGACCAAGAAAGAGAAAAAGTGTGTGGGTCGAAGTCCATAATGAACCACAGAGGAAAGACGATTTCCTAACTAACTAATCGGGTAAGGGCTGTGAGAAAAAGACCGGCGTCGAGTTTTGTCCCCAGCATACGGAAGAAGGATGGCGTTGCCACCACCTGAGATGAGAAAACGCAGGCGCGGCAGGTTGCAGGGGGAAGATCCAGAATTCAGTTCAGCGTCCCGGGGTCTGCCTTGAAAGAGTTTTCTATCCTGTCCAGGCCGGCTGCGCTCCTGCCTCCGTTCGAGTCCTTTGTGACGTTGGGGAAGCTGCGGTCTCGGCCCTTTCTCATCTAGGTACCTCTGTCCTCCCGCCTCCTCCCGGCGACCTCGTGCACTGCCCCGACCCGGCGGACCGTCTCTCCACGCGCCGGCGCCTGGCAAAGGCGCACCTGTAGGTCAGTCGCCAGGTGTGGCGGGGACAAGGCAACTTGCTCTGGAACTTGTGGACCTGGTGGGCTTCACCCGAGCGCTACTGGCGGGGCAGGGGCGGCGGACGCTCGGTGGTCGCGCGCAGGGTCGCAGTTTGGAGAAGTCAGGGCAGAGAGGGGACCACCTTCTGCAACGATTCCTTGGAGGACCGGGCAGCACCTGGAAGGGTAGATGGAGCTTTCCAGAGGTCAGTGCAAGGGTGCTTTCTGCTAAAAGGGTTAAAAAAAAAAAAAATTAAAGCATATAGCATTTGGTTCCCTGTTGGTCTGGTGGCCGGGATTTGGGGCTTTCACTGTGATCTGGTTCCATTCCCGGTGAGGGGAAGAGGTCCCCAACAAGGTGTTATTTATTGTGTTTACTATCCACCAACCACTGTCACTCTGTTTTTCCAAGACTGTAGAAATGAAGTTAATTTTGATCCTAAAATTGAAACTATTTAACTAGCATACATTCCAGGTGGGTGAAATTTAGTGTTAATTTAAACTTCCAATGTATATTGCTTACCAAAGCATCAGCACCAAAATTGTAAGCCTGCATTCCCCCCGCCCCAACATTAAAACCAACACTAGAAACAATCTTTTAGATATAATTTTAAACTTTATTTACCATCAAATGATCTCTTTATAGTCAATTTTCCCCTTAGCCTATAAATCCACAAGTAACAGAAAAACTGCCTAGCATTTCAGCAAATCTGAATTCAAAACTCTCTGTTCTCTTCTGTTTGTGTGTTTACCCTTTCTTCCAGGTAAGATTAGTCACAATAAAAAAAATCAATAAACGTAATAAAAAATGTAAGCTTGGTCTTTTTGCTTAAAGTGTTCTCATTGGTTCTAAATTTTGTGGATGTGATACTGTTGTTTGTATAGTCTCATGGGTATGCTTGAGGCTTTAGGAACTCGGGAAATATGGTGCACAGGAAGGTCTCAAAACCCCTCATTTGAAGAGCTGGCAGAAGTAAATCCGCACCAGTAATAAAGGCAGCAGCTTCTAAAGGCCGGTTGGAACCAGAGCAGATTTTTAAAAACCAGACAGGGTTGTTTTTTGTAATTTAATTTTCATTTTGATGGACAGTACCCTGACCAGAAGACTTTCCTCTAACAACTTAAGACCATTCATTGTATAAGCATGTAACTCATCAATTTCAATTATATATTTTCACAACTGTATATTGAATTGGCTCACTTATAACTTGAATTTTCTCTTTACTGCAAGTTTTACCCAAACTGTCAGCTGAATTCACACTCTCTGTTACAGACACACCGACCAAGGAGTTTAACACATCACTTGACAGAGTTATAACAGCAGCTGTCAGGAGGCCGCCTTCCCTCAGGGAGTGCAGGGAGTCCTGACCAGCCTTCAGGGTCAGTTGGAGCAGTGGGGGCAGCTTCTCTCCTGAAAGTGCTTGAGTTAAGATGAGGGGAAGAAGGGATTAGAGGCACAAGGGGAGCAGGCCCACACAGGAAGTACAGCTCTGCAACTGCTTTTGGTTTTAAAAGCCATTCAGTTTCAACAAACTGAATCCATTCAGTTTCAGTTTGGTCCATTCAGTTTGGTCCATTCAGTTTGGTCCATTCAGTTTCAACAAACTTTAAACAACTAAAATGTCATTTGAGTGGCTGATTTCAATCCTCCCTTGTTGCCACTGAGCCTCCAAGCATTCATTACCAATGTAGGACAATAGGAGGATCTTTATTGCCCTACTCGCACTCATCACTTTGGGGGAAACATATGTTACCAGATCCTAGGGACCCTTATCAATCCCCCCTCCCCCAACTTGGCCCACATAGTCCCTTCTGTCTTTTCTCCAAGAAGGCATTATGGCCTTATTGGCCCCATGCTAGACATAAAATTTGCTAATGGTCAAGAAGTCACTATGCAGCATAGTGGTGTAGTCTTGTCACATTTCTGTAGAATTGACCAGTAAGGAGACATGCAGCTCAAATGAATTGAGGTGGTTTATTACTTCTACACACAGCATAAGCGAGATTAGCATGTTGGCAGCTCCCCACATCCATAATCCCACAGCATGACACCAAACTGGAGGTAGAAGATGACAAGAAAATATAAGCAATGGGTTGCTCTGTCATGAAGGAGCTAATTTTATATTGCAGCTAATTGGCTATTGTCTGTAGTTGTACCCTGAGGAAGTTGGGAGCAAAGTAGAAATTTCCATGGCCTATCAGAACAAGGTAAGAAATTGCCTGCTGGTAGCCTGCTGCAAGACAGGGAGCCTTCCACAAGAGATCAGTAAGAAATAGCTTTATGATAGCTCCTCCCAAGACTGCCTATCTTGCCATGGTCTAGGAGGGCAACCTGGCAAGGTTTGGTCAGACTACGATTGAACCTTGCCTATGTGTCCTATGTGGAGAAATATAAACACAGCCATTCCCTTATACCTTAAACCTTGAAAAGTGCTTGGTTGGATATAGTATCCTTGGCTTGTATTTTCTTTATATAAATTTCTTGAAAATGCTGCTTCCATGTTGCCTTGCCTTGTATGTTGATGTCCATCTAATTCATAACTAAGTTGCTTTCATAACTTATTTCACAGTGATTCCTGGAGAACCTGAGGATGTTTTCTTTATCTCGAAAATCTAGTAATTTTACTATGATCTTACCTTGAAATTGATCATCCTGGGTTACTTTTTCCTGATAACTGATGGGCCCTTTCGATGTGTCTCATCATGTAAGTAATCTATCATTTTCGTTTTTTATAAATCAAGTCTTCTAGATTGTTCCCCCTACTACCTGATTCCTGCTTAGAGAAAAATGTTAAAAAAAACAAGAAATTATACACATTATAATTTTTATTCAACAAATATGGAGATTCCCAAACAAGTTAAAATGGAATAGAAAACAACTCTGATGGTTTCAACACAGTATTGCCAGGTAAGGACTTTTTTTAAAAGTCACCATTAGTTTATAAACAAAATGCAGAAGGCCACAATGTCAGAAGAAAACCTTTGAATGTGAATATATTTATTATTATAAAGAGAAGTGTCACTAGTTTGAAAATCAGTTTTAGAAAAATCTTAGATTTAAGCTATTCCTAGATGAAAACAAAACTTTGGAAGAAAATTATTCAACCCTTTTCTCTCTAATGCAGTGACACTCATCTTACTCTCAAATCACAACCTTTCCCAAGAGCTTCCTAATGCGCCAAGAGGTTAAAACAAAACCAGATAAATAGTTCCTGGATTCCGTAGTTTGCTTCCCCTTACGAAAAATGTAATTATCAGGCCGACACTGTAGACAGACATTGCTAGGGACACGGAATCCCTCCGGGAACACAGATGGGCACACAGAACACGCAGAGGCCGCCATAGCTGACCAAGTTAACAAGTTCAGTTCACGGTGTCCCCGGGTACAGACCCGAGGGTCCTCTCGTCACCTCTGCCGAGGCCATCTTCGCCACTGCCCTCGTCTCTAAGCGGTTTCCTCCCTACGAGCCTCCCCTCTTCTGGGGCCGCTCATTCCTGCCAGACCACTGAGGGGTCTGCCCCCAGCTTCTCTCCTTCCAGACCTTCATTTCTTGATCCTCGCTCCATAGTGAGACGTGGCCCAGCCATCAGCCCAAGGTCCAGATACGAATTAGGGACCTGATGGCTCTTTGGGTTCCCAGGGATCAGCTCAGAGAATAAACCAAAATAACAAAGATTTTATGTACCCAATATTCAAAGCTGTAGTGACCCACCATTTATGTTAGCATTGTCATCAGTGTACAGCTGCCACAACCAAGGCCCCTAAAGGCAATATAGCCTGTGCAGTATGATTTTGCAGGGTATGAGTGTAAAAACCATAGAAAAATGAGACAGAAAACACTTTGCATTGGCTGGGAATCGAACCCAGTTCTCCTGTGTGGGAGGCAAAAACTCTATCATTGAGCCACCAATAAACTACCATGATAGATTCTTGGAAGAAAAATTGAAAAAAGGTACCTAGTTAAGAGGGTTTTGGTAGTATTGCATAAAAGTTAACAAAAACATCAAAACCAAACGTTTTTACAGAAGACTTTTATTAGAGAAAACTATAAATATCAACATATCTTATTTGTCTGATCAAGCTCTTAACTCTGAAAAAGGCTGTTTCCAACTGCATAATAGAGCCCTGTAGAAAAACAACAAAAAAATTCATCCAGGTTCTTTGTTTCTGATCCTAAATCTTCACTTGTCAATCTCAAACTGTTGCTTTAGTAGTTCTGAGAAGGAGACCTAACTGGTAGGTTAGGTAAGTAAAATTCTAAAGTAGGGAAGAAATAAGAAGCAGAAGCAGAATTAGAAGAAAGGAAGGAAAAGGACAGAATCAAGATAGAGATAATGAAGAAACAAATTTGATCCATGGAGTTAGTCCTTTGTGTTTGTTTTTTGTAAAAGAGTAATGATCACTCTTGTACTCATAATAATAATATTGTGTGCCTCCTTTATAAGATGTATAGAACATTTGAAGGAATATGTGATATAAAAAGATTAATGCTTGCCAAAAATTATTTATTTGTTTGAGAGAATCCACTTTCCTAAGTTAATATGCTTTGATGTATTAGCTATGTAAACACCACTAGACTATTTTAAATAAATATTGGTGGTTGAAATATTAACATATTGGTCCTTTGATGATGTTCAAATAGTGGAGAGATTTCTTTCCCCAATTTTCCCTGGGGAAATTAAACTGAACCTAGAGAGCTTGCCCCACATGTTGTGTCTGGGAGTCATTGTGACTTTGTTCAAATATAGGTGCTGTGACATGTAATTGTGCTTCTCTAGCTGAGAAGCCAAGCTAGGTTCAGGCTGCATCATAAACTTGAGCTCAAGGAAATTAATGGTCACATTGACTTTGCAGAGCTTTGGCTCCATCTGCCCTCTGCTGGACACCCAAGACACACCCCAGCTCTGGCCAACACGCCTTCAAATGCCAACTACAGCAGCCAGGTCTACATTTATTCCCACACCTCTTTTTAAACTACAAACCTACACTTCCTACTCTCAACTCCTAAATTTACAAGACGCCTCATATGCGACTCACAGTCACAAGTGCTAAAACGCAACACACTAGTGAGTTCCCTGTTAGCATCACACACCACCCTCTACCTCAACACTTAATCAGATCCAAGCACAGCATCTCCTCAAGAGTAGTGCATTGCCCTGAGTGTTTCCATCAGTCGCAAAACCTGTTTCTATCCCTGCCTAGTACATTTACCTTCACCACCATCCTCCTATTGCTTAAACCAGATCTTGCTATCTTCCTTAGGTAAACCCTCTCAGTCTTGGGACTGGGACTGGGCTATGATCATAAAAGGATTAATACTTGGCATGAGGTGTGACAGTCCTCTAAGGTGTGTCTTTCAAGGCAAGAAGTAAGCTCTGGTATGTTTCTGCAGCATGGAACATTTGGAACTAATACCCTTGTCACACACTCTTCTCCATAACCAGAGACATCACGACATTACCCACTAGCAAATGCAGTGTCCTAGAATATGAAGAATTACTTTAGTGTGTGTTTCTCTCTTTGCAAGTTAGTTTTGGAAAAAGGTCAGGAGATTTCCATCTCTTGATCTCAACACAACAGTTTTGTTGTTGTTGTTCGTTTTTCTGAGACAGAGTCTCACTCCATTGCCTTGGCTAGAGTGCTGTGGCGTCAGCCTAGCTCACAGCAACCTCAAACTCCTGGGCTCAAGCAATCCTGCCTCAGCCTCCCGAGTGGCTGGAACTACAGGCATGAGCCACCATGCCTGGCTAATTTTTTCTATATATTTTTAGTTGGCCAATTAATTTCTTTCTATTTTTTTAGTAGAGATGTGATTTTACTCTTGCTGAGGCTGATCTCAAACTCCTGACCTTGAGCGATCCGCCCATCTCGGCCTCCCAGAGTGCAGATCTCAGCCACCTCGCTGGCCAAACACAACAGTTTGTTTCCAGTGTAATTATAAATAGTGTTTAAATTTATTGGACTCTCAATAGACTCACTGCCACTTCATTACTACACTCCATTACCTCTTACTTCCATTAATGTAAGCAGATCAAAAACTGGCCTCTCTACAGCCAGTCTTGTGCACTCTAATCCATTTGCTACACTGTATTCTGAGTGACTATTCTACAGCATAAATCTGGACATACCTGTAGCCTAAAATTATATCTGCCAACACAGCAGCTAAGCAACAGCAATCCTCTCTCCCTTGGTCATTGGCATCCTGGAGATGACCAAGGGGATTTAGGGGAAAGAATTGCCATGGATCAGCCAGAGCTTACGTTGGCTTTGAAACATATATACATGTTGGAGAAGTTCAAGTCTCTAGCCATATCTGGAAATTAGGAAGTAAGGACTAAAAGAAATCACTGCACTGGCACACCTGGCCTTCTCTTCTGACTTTTCAATTTCGCCCAGTCAGTTCCCTAGTGGCTGGGGTGAAGGCTGTCAAAGGCCTCCTCTATGACGTTTCCTGGAGCTAACCTTCTGAGATGGTCTTATGGGAATTCTTAGTCATCAAGACTCAGAAGTGTTCCAGAAGCACAGAGGCCTCCACGCAGGAACAATTTTTGATTCTTCAGCTGGGGATATATAGCCTTTAGAAGAACGTCCTACCTGCTTCCAGACCAAGTTCTAAAAACAGTAGGCTACTTAGTGTAGCCAGGATCTATGTGGTCTTTAGTCCAGACATGAACAGGTGGCTCTATTTCTGTGCAGAAGCCCGTTAGACATAGATCTAGGGCCTGCTATGGGTGATGGAGAAAACAACACTATGAAGTATTGGATATGTTATGAGCTATTCAGGACACTTTAAGCTAAGAATACAAGTGCTTCAGTAGCAAACATCTTATCTCCTACCTGGTGACCGAGGTTTGACTGCAAGCCAATATATGTGACTGTTTTTCTTTTTTTTTCTCCACTCCAATAATTTTATTTACTACCTCTACTGAAGTCTTTATTGCAAAGACGAGTCTGGTCTATGCAAAGATTCAGCAGCCAGAGTAACGCTGCAGTCAGCTGAGAAAAGGGAAGAAACAATATAATGGGCAGTGCTTTCAGAACACAAATTATTATTAAAGAGTTTGTCTATACATTGGCTTGGCAGTCTTGGGACTGGGACTGGGCTATGATCATAAAAGGATTAATACTTGGCATGAGGTGTGACAGTCCTCTAAGGTGTGTCTTTCAAGGCAAGAAGTAAGCTCTGATATGTTTCTGCAGCACGGAACATTTGGAACTAATACTCTTGTCACACACTCTTCTCCATAACCAGAGACATCACGACATTACCCACTAGCAAATGCAGTGTCCTAGAATATGAAGAATTACTTTAGTGTGTGTTTCTCTCTTTGCAAGTTAGTTTTGGAAAAAGGTCAGGAGATTTCCATCTCTTGTTATGCCTACATTCTTCTGAGTTTCTCTTGTCATGATGAATATGAATATATTCCTAGGAGGAGAGAGACGTAAAGAACAGAGAGAAAGTTTTACCCTCTCCTTTAGGTTACCATTCCATAAACTTTTCTTGGACTTCCTATATTTTACACTGGACCAAAAAGACAGGGAATTCAGCCACTAAAGAAATTTCTCTTTAATGTTCTCAATACAACCTCACTAATGGTCAAAATCATACATTTGGTTAACTTTAGGGTCCTAGTATCTGAGTTAATTATTTACTTCTTCCAACAGCCTATCAGACAACTACAGGTAATCTTACATGTAAGAGAG